TTCTGCGTCTCTTCCCCGCTATTGTGGATCTGCAGTCGGATCCAAATGCGGCTGGCACCACCCCGACAACCGCACAAACCTTTCATGTGGGAGAAAGTCACAGAGTCACAGAGTGATCAAAACCAGGAAATCGGAAGATTCACCTTGACTGCAGAGCCTGCAAAGCCTTGACTTCATATGACTGACCAGTTTCTACATGTTTCTACTGTTCAGTGATGTCCCCAAAATGATGCACTTGCTTTGCCGACCTAGCCAACCTACAAGACCACAGCAAAACTAAAATGTTCACAAATGCCCAAAGCCTGAGCTCCGCAGATATCATGCTTCAAGACATGAACTGAGCCTCCTGCCCAAACACGAGCCTTCCTGGCATCGGTCCACTCTCCGGAGCCACTGCTTGAGAGGATCAAGTTCTCTTGGCTTGTCCGGGGTCGTTGAGCATGACATAAAAAGGAGCAAAACTCAAAACTCCGGTTTGTCTATACACACATATATACTGTGTACTATACCGTGTGTGTATATATATATATACATATTTGTATATACATGCTGTATGTATATATATATATATGATCTGTGCAAGTTATGCATTATATATGCGAAACTCCCTCCAAATCTTCCCTGAAATACGAACGAGCTCCCAAATCCCTGTAAGCCAGGTCAGCAGGGCGTCTTGCCACCTTCAGTCCCTGCCGCCTGGTCAGTCGTGGCAAACAGATGCAACTTGGTTCACTGACTAAGGTTCACCAGGTACAGTAGGTTTACCAGTGGTGTCAACTGCTCTTGCTGATTCCGGCGCTGAACATCTTTCTGAACAGTCATCAGTCGTTCGCCTTTCGTTGTTGCGGAGGGGTCTGGCTTCCAAGAAGTGCGTCTTGTTGCATGTCCTTGTTCAATCTTGTTCAATCTTGTTCAAACCAAAAAACCAAAATGTCTGTGCCGTTGAAGACCTTGACAGCACCCATTCGCTGCCTGCCACCCAACAAATCCAAAGGTATCCAAAGGTCATGTTGGTCCTTTTGTCCCAGCTGGGCGGACTTCGAGGGATGTCTGCCCCAAGTCGGCGACTTCGAGTTCAGATCCCTGATAGACTTCACAGCCCAGCTTTGAACCGTCACCCTGTAAGGTTGACTCTTGACTATTAAAAAAGAGTAGAGGTTTTACAATCCAAATCAAGGGGGTTAGATGGGGTGAGTGACGGTGATCAGGAGGTGATCAGGAGTTTGAATCTTCGCCACGGCCCACTCACTTGCTGATACGTGCTGTAACCAGGACCCCAACCCCACACACACCCTCCCGGATCCCGGACACCAGATCTCGCTGTCGAGCTCTCGCTGTCCGCCTCGATGCTGTCGAGCACGTCCATGCCATCGACCACATGGCCGAAGACCACATGCTTCCCATCCAGCCAAGGGCATGGAGCCTCGCCAGCGAGCGCCAGCGCTCGGACCGGCGCGGTGAGGAGCTGGTGAGGAGCTGGTAGGGGAGGCACCACAAGCGATCAACCCAATCCACCCAGCTGGCCAAAAATCCCAGAAGCCTTGGGAGACAAAGCCTCTACTGTCACACCCTCGTTGGTGGAATGAATCTGAAGCCTGATTAAGCAGAGCCGCAGAACCAACACGTTCGCCATTGAACTGCACGTCCAGCCGCGTTTCCGTCTTGGCAAACGACGCCTTCTGCAACATCTTGTTGCGGAGAAAATCGAACACCGTGCTTTTGCGTGCTGTTGATGCACGGACAAACCTTCTACGGCACGTGAAACATGATTAGGAAGTTGGCGACGCCAAATCAATCTCTGTCAAAGTTGGCGATGGTTGCTTGGTAGTCCTGGATGTCCTGCACTCCAAGTTGCACATCTCGATTCGAACCTCATCGCCCAAAAGACTGTAAGTTCGGGCGTTTCAAGGGTACCTGATAATCAAGCATTGTGGCAATACGGACATGGGACACATTAAACCATTTACAGTGGTTTCAGAGTAGATGGCACAGACCTCAAGATGTCCTTTATACACCACCTCTTGGGGTCTGTGCCATCTACTCTCAATCCACTATAGCTTGTCTGCAGATATATATATATATATACATGCATCTCCATAATTATAGTGTATATAATATTGTATAACTATATATTTTAAAAAATGTCAATAACTAATTTAATATGAATGACTATATAAGTCTATGTTATATACTTATATATGCCAGGGTCTCCTAACAGGTGTCTCTTAACAGCTCCTTAGAGGTCAAGGGTTTACGTTGTATTCTTTCCAGGAGTTTTGACCTGCTCTCCGTGTTTCGAAATCACCATCGCATCGAATTCATCAGTTCGTCAGTTGTTTTCAGGGCATCTGGGAAGCACTCAACCCCGAAGGTTTCAACAGACCCACATGTGCAATCCAATTTCATGCAAAACACCTGGAGATCTGCGAAAAAAAATGCGGGAAAAATGGACGTCCTTGCCCAGCCAAGCTGATGTGATGTTGCCTCAAAAAAGCATGCGGAAGCAGAGCACAGCAAAGCAGGGTTCGCTGGAAGGGACCAGTCCAGGCCGACCAACCTCATTTTGGAACAGCAAAACCTCGTGTGGGTTCACAGCCACACCAAATCAACTCCGAGTTTTTCGTTCATGAAGGTCACATGTGCCCAGTCCATCCACACAGTTCGTTCCCATCAGCCACTTATCCTGGGGGTGTTGGTTCGTCTTGACCCAAGGTCAATGTCGCCACGTCGTGTCCGAGACCGTCTTCCTTTGAGCTGCGTCGATGATAATGGTTCTCTGCAGCGGCAAAGGGGGCAGAGCCCAAAAAAAGGCACGGCACCTGGCGGGCGCCAATGAATGATGGAGAAGGCACCTCAGGATACCTCGGGTTCTTACAAGTCTATCATGGTGCGTGCGGCGGCACAAGATGACATGAGCCACATCCAACTCCACTTTGTTGGAAACCCAAACCCCAGAGCCTGAATCTCTCCACGTCTCAAAATCAAAAAGCCAAGACACTTAGACTTAGATCCATGCTCGCAAGAGCTCTATCAGCCATGACGTCCACGTGAAGCTAGCACTTGACGTTACTGAGAGCTAGACCTGGACTTGCAAAACAGAAGGGGTGCTGGGTCGGCTCAACAGAAGGTTTAACAAAGGCGCGTTAGCACGTTACTCGAAAATGGGAGTCGCAGCTTTGTCAACAGCTCAAAAAGAAAGAGTGTTTGAAAGTTTGCAGGTACGTCAGTTCCGCGTCCGGAACTGATATCCTCACTGTGTAATGCTAGCTTCGTTGATGGAGAAGCAATACAGGTGTCTCCATCTCCTGCTGACTGTACAAAAATGCCAGTGTGAATTGAAGAACCTATATAAGTACAGTTAGAAGGATTGTGGTCGTTCTCCTTGGAGACAGGAGGTGACACACACGCACACACACACTCGGGAAAAACACGTACGATGGGAATGCCAGTTGCCGCATCGCCTATAGGTGGAAAAAAGAAACTGGGCAAAACGAGTGCAAAGGAGTCCAACCATGGAAAGTTGGTCCATTTGTTCTGGAAAGGATTTGTGAAAAACTGTCTAAGTCATTCCAAGTCCATCGAAGTTCAAAAGTCAAAGTTTCAAAACGCTATGTAAATGAGCATCCGCAGAAATTCAAGTATAGCGAGATGGCCGCGAGTGGGACGTAGGTTCAGCATCCATGTCCGGGTTCGGTGATGTAGCTCGCCAGTTCGCCATCAATGCAAGAACGTGCAACAAGAAGACAGGGATGCGAAACACAGGGGCAAGAAATCTCACAAAACCGAAAATCAACGAGGAGTTTGTTGACTGCGGCAGCGCGGCCATGTAGGTGGAGAGGTCGGAGGTGTTCCAGGAGCAGGAGGTGCAGAATCACCGGTAATGGGATATGATATAGGGAGGTGGAGAGGGGAGCGGCTGCGATCAGGTAGAGCGTGGCGGCATAGAGATAGTCCCCGCGCGCTTGTTGCTCGTCCACCCGGCTTATGGACATCCGCATCAAAAGAAGGGAAAATTATCGAGGTGCAGGTGGCAAAGGTGGAGGTGAGGATGGAGCCGAATGTGTCGGAGGTTGACGCTTGTAGGCCACTGTTGAATCACTTTGCAAATCTGCTGGGTTTCAGTGGCGGGGTGGGGTGGTTGCACTGCTTCGCGACAGCTTGCCAGTTGAGATGCTCCTTGGCGTCTCGTTTGAGCATATGGAGAGTACTGGAGCTTCCAATGAGGGTGTTGCCGTCCACAGTGATCAGTAGTAGTTCCATAGGAAGAGTTCAATTGCCTAAGCAAGTTAGGTAAAGGTCAGGTGGTTCCAATGAGCCGCCATGGAGTCTTCCGCCACGAAGGTACCTGGCGGAAGTGGCCCGCGCTGTCGATCGTGTCGAGGTGGCACAAGAGCCTTTTCCAGGTCTATGTCCTGGACCTTTGCCTGATCCCGTGCGATTGCGATACAGTGTAGTGGGAATAGCATGCGCATGTATGAGCAATGTTCCAAGGTAGGATGTGGGCTCTGACACATGGAGGATGTGATCTGCTACGCCTGCGTAGCGCTGGCTCCTCTCGCCGCAGCGGCAGAACGAGTGCAAAGGAGCCCAACCATGGAAAGTAATTTCAAGTTCTCCTGAGAAGAAGTTCCTGAAAAGCAGTAATACTTGTGCAACGGCTGGCAATTTGTTCCAGTAACGAGCGGGGGTGGGGCCAAAAGGAAATACAGTAAGTGGTGAACACAGCAGGTACGCCAGACTGATCAGGTCTGGTTTCACCACCGATTGCAAGCGTCTTCGTTGGCAGGGGTCTTGCAACGGTGCTCCTGCCCCCTACTTATATATATATAGACAGTTAAAAATTGTCCAAAATGGTGAAAAGCCAACAGTAAGGCTCTCTATGATTTCAAGTGTTACACACAAACACACCCGCACGCGCGCGTACTTGGGGTTGTTTTTGAAAACTTGTTGAAACCAAAGCCAACAATCGCACGAAACCGAAATGATTCACGCCGGATGATTCACTTCTCGTACGTCCTCACGCCTTGATCTTGTAGAAGAGTCACCGTGAGGCGGCCAGGTCGAAAGGCCGCAATCACCTCACCCGCGTGGCGTGGGCGTGCGGCGGAAGGCGAGAAAGGCAGGTCACGCAAAGGCCAAAGGTCCATCGATCCGATCCAGAAGATCTCAGAAGTGTTAAGATTTAGAAGGAAGAACCCGGTCTTTATCAAACAGCTTTGGTCAGATACCACCCCTACTAGTACTACTCCAAAACCCTGGATCAAACAGGGATTCTCCAAAAATCCAGACTGACTGGTCCTCCAAACCTTTTGCCACCCAAGAAATCCTTCTCCGCAGCCGGTTCTATTCGTCTTCACACCTGGCCCATGAGCTGGTTCAGCGTCTCCTCCAACGTCCGTTCGGGCACCCCTCGCAGCGCCGAGCCGAAGTTCGTCTCGAAGGAGGCCTCGGGGCACGGCGCCCACGGGCACGGCGCCGCGGTTGGCGACGTGTGAAGAACAGAAGGGGGGGTGAAGAGTTACGTATGGACTTGTCCGACAGGAGTGGCCTTTTCCTTCCCAAAAAAGAAGAGAGGTCATGAGGCCACGGGCAACAGCTGATTACCTGCAAACGGGACACAAGGCATGACTGTGCAGCACACAATAGTCCTCGTACTGAGCACAGGATCGTCGTGCTCACGTGAGGTTTGTATATAGAAGCTCTATGGTTTCCAGAACGACCTTATGGCATCTTATGGCCGTTGTTTTTTCTCTGTGTCGTTTTGCAGTGTTTGTACAGGTACAAAATGCAAACCGGATGGTATGCAAACCGGCTGTTGAGTTTGCTCGGCCAGTCGTGCGATTGCGACAAACCTTCTCCAGCAGGCTAGTAGCCATCCTAAATCATCCCAACATATCCTAACATCATCTAACACCTCTTATTTATTTCGCAATGCCCTGGAACCTGATCTCTCCATTTTACTCCTTTTCTTTTACAATGAAACACATCAACTCCTGAAAATCAGAACGCTGGAAGACTAAACCCTTGTTTGGAGAAGGGTTCTTGCAGTGAAACAAGTTGGCAGAAACATAATGTCAAAGAAGGTAACTGCAACTGTCCGGTGCTCATGTTTTTTCCATTGGATGAACCATGTTTCTATCTATATTATACCGTAACATAATATTATATATATATAACATCATATAACCTCTGGAAGGACTTCAGTCTGACGTGGGACATCTGTGGGTTCAAGTTCTTCTTTTGCGGACAAGGCTACACCCTGCTCGGGCCAGCTGGTGTTGAGTAAAAGACTCAAGAAAAATCGTGAGAAAAACATAGAAAAAAACACTTCCAGACTTTCGCCTTGCGCCCCTCTTTTAATATCCATGGCCTCGGTTCACCCGTTTCTCCCCATGGCCACTCCCGGTTCTCCGTCCAGCGGCATAGGAGCACAAGTCCTGAGGCGTCACATGCACCATGGCCTCAAACACGGACCGACGGACATGGGAAAAAAAACAGAAGGGATCGAGGTATAGAAATGGGCAAGATAATGTCACTCCCTTACCCCCCCGGGGATCAAAAATGTAACTAAGGGGGTGGTGACGGCAAGATATGGGAAGATGGGGATCGAGACCAGGGATGGCCAACGCCAGGTTCGGATGGGCAAGGTTGGGACGTTCGAAGAATGGGGTCGTTTGCACCGAGAACGCTTTTGTATGCTTTTGTCCCTCAAGAGTCAGCTTCTTCTACCAGAGGAGCAAGCAAAACAACGTTCGGTTCTAGCTCTTGTGCAAGTGTCATAGGAGAGACCCGAGTGCATGTTGCAAGAATAGCCACAAGATTCGAAGCAGTAGTCGTCCACCTGCCGGCTCCGACCGCATCACCGACCGCTGTCGTAGGAGCGGCGATCTCTGGTCGAATCCCAATACATCCAAAAGCCATGAAACGTCGAGCTATAATGAGCTATATTGAGCTGAGTTACAAAGATGTTGCAAGTCACTGTTCAATCCTATCCAGAAACCTACTTCGAGTTCATCCTGCAGCACTGCAGAGCCGAACTCGGCCCACATGTTCTCAAATACCTTTCACTGTCTCCACCTCTGTGCCCTCTGAGTTTCCAGTCAAGTATCTACTCAGTCTTGTTATTCCCCAAACCTGTGGATCCGGAATTCCAGTCACCACTGCTTCCTCTCGTCGGACGAATTCGGGAGTGATAACAACTAGCAGCTAGCTCTGCAAATGGCAAATCCACAAGCAAAATAAATCCAAATAGAGTGGAATCTTAGCAATACTACCACGAGATAAACATCCGCCACAGAAGTTCAGCCTTCCAATACTGAACTCCTTTGAATACAGGTCGAAAAAAGAACTCTGATTGGATCTTGTTGCTTTCTTCCTTTGCCAAGTGATCAACCCCACCCATGGCACCCGGCTGGCGGACCGATGCGGCCCCAAATGAATGGCCACGGCACCATCGAAACCCCCACTGGTGTATATGTATATAATTATATAATATGTATTTATATATATATATATGCGTGTTTGTCTTTTCTTTCTGGAGCATGGAAGGTCAATGCCTATCACTTGAAAAGTTAATAGGAATATATGAGCATGAACTAGAATTTTGATGAATTTAGACCCAGCACCCACAGAACCATACAGTTTCCACTCCAGCAAACACCCACCACTCCAGGCAGCTGGGGGCCTCTGCATTCATGAACTCCGCGATTTGTGCCAGACCCGATTCTTTGGTCATCTTTTCGGCACCCACTCGACTTCCTTCAGGTTCACTGGTGTGGAAGACCTACAAAGGCTCGAAGCAAGCAAATGCCGGTGTGTCGGACAGGGCCATGTTTCAAGAATTCGGTGCTAAAAAGGAAACCAGAAACCAGTTGGTGTGCTTTTGATGTTAATGCGTTTTCAGTTTGCTTTCTCTAAAAGCACTTCCTGGACCTCCATCATTCCTTTGAATGGAGAAAATGTGCTGATCAAAACCCCACATTACTGCGATAAATATTGCAGTTGTGTATATATAACTTAAGTATATAGCAGTATATAGCAGTAGCTATTTATATATTATGCAAAGAATTGCAATGACATTTATATATATATATATGCAAGTAAAACACTAGGCCGGCTAGGCTTAGGCCTGTGTTGACTCCAGCATACTCCAGTCAATCCAGCAGCTTTGGTTTTTTCCAGGCCACGCGCCAGCGCCATCGTCCGTCCATCCGTGCCTCCTGCACATCTTTGGGCAAGTCATACATCATGACATCGATCGTGAAGTCTCCACGTTCCAGATAGTCGGCCTGGCGTTCGGCGGGGTCTTGCAGTGATAAAGGAGGCCGTCTGGACGAAGGTTGTGGCAGTTCTGGATCAAACATATACAGAAAACTGTCAAAAGTTCACTTCCCTTTCCGGATTTCTACTCGTTTTCATGATTGCCATGTTCAATGGGTGGCACAGCATCTCCCACAATATCTCAACTCAAACCAACCACCCGTATTCGCCTGTTCGAGATCTCCCAAAAACGGGAAGGAAGGGGTGTGGTGGCGATTGGAAGGTGTGGCTTGGCTCGTGGAGGCCCAAAGAAATGCCCTTAGAAAAATAGGGCGATGGTTCTTCCAAAAACAGTGATGGACTCCCTGAAAATCACCCCATTCACCTTAGAGTTCACATAAGTTCACCCCATGGAAGTGGAGTGGCGTTTTTTCTTCTTCGGATTTCATCCTCCGACATCGGGGGCCATGTTTCCATCCACTTCATCAGGAATTGTTGTTCTTTTTCCAATGATCAGATCAAAACATGCAACGATCAACATGGGACGTGTCAAGAGAAAGAACTAACATCTCCCAAACACTCCATGGGACAGGAATACATGCCGCCCTCCCCTACATGACCCCTTTTCAACCACCCCAAGATCTATCAGTCCCATGGATCTGTCAGTCCCATAATATGCGATCTTGGATGCCTCCATCTCTTTCGAGCGGACAATGGGAGAGTTGAAGATAGCTGAAGCATCTGAGATTAGGTGGTTTCCATCAGCAAACAAATGGTTTTATGGCATGTCCCACTACTCCAATGCTTTGGCAAAGCTTTTAACATCCGAAATAACATTGCAATGTCATGCGCTCGCTCAAGGGGTCATCGCATGTCATCGCAGCAAGCTGGGCGGTTGGGTTGCAAGATTGCTCTGTCATCGATCCCTCTGCCGAAGAAAAAGGCCTGGCCCGGCCCAGCCTTCAAATACAAAGCGTCGTAGAAGAGCCAATGTTCACCAGTGAGAGGACCAAGAACGTAAGCGTCTCCAACCTGACTCCGCTCTGACCCGAGACGCGTCTCGGCTCGGTCGCTCCGGCGTTGTCGCGGGTGCAGCGGGTCGGAAAAACATCGGTGGGAGCAGCGGCTGTTTGTATGGTTGGATGTTTGTATGGATGGATTTTTGTATGGATGTCTTGGCAACAGGTTGAGGTTTCGGTGCCAAGGAGCAGGGCCGAAGACTTTCTTGCAGGCTTCAACCTCTCCCTCCATCGATTGATGCTCATGTGGCTGCTCCTATCAAGGGGCATGGCGGGTGGCAAAGAAAGAGTTTTTTCTTCCCAAAGTTCAAGTGGATCGTTGACACAGTTGACACCCGTTTCGTCAAGACTTTTTTCACAGCAACACCGCCGGTGTGTCGGTCACCACGTACCAAACTATACAAGCGTACGTTTACTGTCTGATGTCATTCAACAAAAACCCATCTGAAGATCTGGTAAGACATCTGCTCCCACGGACATCCGCCTCTGGGGCCAAGAAGTTCTTCCGTGAATAGCACATCCACTCCAACTCCAAGCCTAGCACGACATCAACGGGAAGAGCGCGGCAAAACACGACATCAAACGGTCTGGAGCGGAATTGAAGTCTGGAAAATGTGGAAACAAGTCTTTCCAAGCATGTGAAGAAACCACCCATGCCCCCCCCATGCCCCATGCTTCATGTGTTTGCTTTGCATCACAGGCAGGTAGTGAGTTCACATGTCCGGTTGCTGGAGTGGCCATCGCTTTCTCGGTCTGGCCTTGGCTCTCGCCAATCTTGAGGAGCGTGGGCACTGCAGACAGTGGGACAGTGCTGCCACATGTCTTGATGATGGTCTTGGCAGGATCAGCGAGGATGATCGATGTTGCAGAGATTGGCCATTGATTTCTTTCACACAAAGCTACCTGGACAATGGAGATCCCTAAGTCGTGTAAGGGCTTCCAGCCAGGTGACCCCGAACTGAAGGTGCTGGTATATATTGTCCATCTGCTGCCTCTAGGATCCATGAGGATCCTAAGGGCTGAAAGATCCCAGTACATTCATCAAGTACCCAATCGATTCAACACCGACACCCCAAGGCCGACACCAGAAGCCAACGGACCAACAAGCCGACCGGACCCGATGATCGCGGCACACAGTGTAGCTACGCAGCCCCACATGGGATTTGGGGCCCTGACAAGGACGCTACGTTAGGAACTCCTGGCCTCACTAGCTACGAACGGAGCGTTCGGACGCTACGTCTCTCAGTCGCCGTCTCCCCAAACTCCGGCGTCCCGGTCGCGTCACGGTCGCGTCACGGTCGTAGACGTCTGCCAAGAGACCTTCCTGGGATAGACCTCAGCCCATCTCAGCAAGCCAAGAGTGGCCAGACCATGTATGGAGTTCCCAGGAGTTGCCTATACATTGCATGGCTCATCCATGGGGCCCGTATGCAATCGATTCCAGTTGCATGGATGGTCTGAGCTTAGATGCCTCATGATCTCATGATACCTCTGGGTCATGATTTTGCCAGTTTTGCTTGCTGCCCTTCTTCCCAGTTTTGTCAACGTTAAAAAGATGTGATGATAATTTTGAAAAGGCAACTGGCTAAACAAACTCATGGCTAAGAAAAAGCATGAAAAAACGACTGTGAGAAAAGAACAAAAGCACTAAAAAGCACACAACTCCTCCTAAACCGAGTATCCTGTGCACCGAGTATCACGAGTCGACCGGAAATCGCTCGCTTGGTGTGGAGTCGACGTAGCCATCTGCCGTCGCCAAGGAACAAGCAGGCTACTCTCTGACAGCAGAAAGCTCGTAAACTCTGCTGTCTCCTTGCAATTCAAAATCCTCAGCAACCGGGTGTCAATTTTGCCGAAGAAACAAAGAACTCTTCTCGAAATGTAAGGAAGCGCGTGGAAAGGGGCCAGGGGCAGCTTGAGGCAATACGCGGCACTGCAAAGCCCAGTGCGCCAACGGTTTTCATCTGGGTGCTTTTTCGGGCAAACACTCGAATCGTCCGCCCATCATGTGCAATTAGGGTATGCCGCATATCCTCCCAAGAAACACTGGATGATAGTATATATTATATATAATATTAAATTATATAGAGTATTAATAGTTTTAGACGGGTTTTGCAGAGCTACTGTACACCCCAGTTGCAGAGCTACATGAATGTGTAGGCTGTAGGAATAGACCAAGTCACATTGACGACCTTTTCGAACCTTTGGCACGACCTACCCCCGCCGCACCGCTCCACAGGGTTCCACCGGCGGGTTCCGGGCGTCTGGGTGGCCGATTGTGTCACCACCGTCTCCCAGCTGCTGCGCGGCGCGTGCCGCAGATCGCCCTCGCCACGAAAATCGATCTCGATTCTCCTCGGTTCGTTGGAGGGATGGTGGAGGGACGGCAGACTCCCTCAGTGTTCGGCTTCTGTTCGAAGAAGAGCAGGACCTTGGACATCCTTTTACCACTTGGTTCTATCTGGTTCTTGTTCTCGGAAACCCATCCCTCACGAGTCCAGGAGAGTGGAGTGTTCCCCATCCGTCCCTGTTCGTCTGGTCATCGTCTGGTAGTCCGTCCAGAGTTCTCTGCTTCCGTTCTGCTCCAAGACCCACACATGAGACGGCCCATGCACCCATGCATTCGGGAGCCAGCTCCATTCATGAGACGAACCACATGCGTATTACGGTTTCCTGATGTGTCCGGACGATGGTCCCATATAGAAACCCGGACATCTCACGTCCCTCAGCTGTAGCTATACGCGATGCGCATCGGGAGTCGCACCGGGTGTCCGCCACTGTCAAGAAGAACCGAAACAAGAAAAAAGGATAAAAAAGGGGGGCCCTGAGGGCCCTGAGCCCCCGGCTTCTCGGTCCCCTCGAAGAATCCTGCTGCATCCATCGCTCCGACCCCAGTGGCAAAGCAGTGGATGTGGCTGTGTTTGTGTGGCTCTTGTGTGTCATCTCGCGCTGCTCGGGCGGCCGCTGCGCGGGACCCCTGTTATCTCAATGGGTTTTTTGGTTTCATGGTTCATTCCTTTCATTGACCAAAACATAACAAAGCTATTGGAAGAGGCTTTTGACCTATCATGACCTATCCATATCCCCTGCCTGTTGGGTATGAGAATATGCCTCTGTTGAGAACACTGCCGTTGCACAAGCATGCAAGACCATTGAATTCTGCTCTACAGCAGTCCAGCTACCGTGTTTACTTCAAATCGCACCAAAATTGCTGAGGCCACAGAATCGCCGAAAGGTTGATCTTCAATTTCAGATCGTGGCCTGTTCACCTCCCTAAGAAACCTCCATCCAACAAAATAAACCTGAGGCTCGGACCCTAAGGCATTAAAAAAAGAAACGAGGCTCGGACGAAGGTAATAAAGAATTGAGAATTGTTCGTGTGTCTCCTGGCGCCCGACAGATGGACACACGTCGCCGAATCGCCGATCTAAAAGGCGACTCCAAAGGCGACCGCGAGAACCAGGGAGCAAACCGGGTTGAAGCATGTCGAGTCAAACATCCTTACTAGTCCCTACTGACCACCATCCATAGGATGCTGGGGGTGGTCGTAGCTCGCAGTTCCAAGCGCCGGTCGTCCTCCCTGCATGGGCCATGGACAGCACCCCGCGCTTCGAGTGCCTCGGCTGCCCCACTGCCCCAGGCCATTCAGAGGCCATGAATGGCACCGTCTGGTATACGACTCGGCTGGAATGGACTCCTAAAAGAAAGGTAATTCATATATTATGAATTCATCTAAATCAGCTAAATGATCTAATGATATCTAATGTAAAATCTATAAACCTTATCTAACCAAATCTCGTCACATCTCCATGCACCACACCCCACAAGCCCTTTTGCTTCACCCCGCAACGCAAACCTCCCCCCGCGCTCCGCGCGGTCGCCCTTTTGACCGCCCGGTTCGCGCGGTCGATCGAGTGACTTGTAGCAGAATCGCTCATCGCGGAAGCGCTGCCCGTAGATGGACCTCGGCCAAAAGCCCGCGGCGGCTCGGTCATGTCACAGTATCTCAAATACAAGGCCTGCACCATAGCAGCAGCGCAGCATCTTGAACAAGACTACTTTAGTGTCATCAAAAAAAAGTATCTCGTTTAGGTGGAGGCCCTATCTTGTTCACCAGCTAATACGGATGTTCTGATGTTGGACAAACAAATAGAGCATGCCGTAGACTACTTTAGTCAACACCAAATTAAGTGGTTGCTCATCTGACAGCTAGGTTGCAGGCTCACCCATGAGCATGCTTCCAAAGTTGAAATCTCCGCCTTGACCTTAAATGAATCGAGGACAAGAATATCCAAATCTATGGAAAGTGCCGACTTGGATGGTTTTTGCTTTGCACGACCCTTCTGTGACTCTTCTTCCAAACTTTGCTCAGGCAACTCCACTTTCACTTTGACTACCCTTTGACTTTGACTCGACAAACTTGTGATGCAGGCAGGGTCTCATCAGTTTTGAGGCCCCCGGCACATAAATCCAGGGACCACTCGCAAAAAGTTGGTGTCTTTGTACCTCACATTGCTGGCTGCCCCTGCCCCCCCCCGTGTCCTTCACCAACCCTCCCGGATTGCACAAGGAGGTGCTTCGGCCACATGCGGGTAGCATGCCGGCCAGGGCACCAACGAGGGCGAAGCCAGTATCCCAGACCCGTCTCTCCAGTGCAAAGGCCTCAGTTCAGCACCCATCTGCAAGGAGATCTCTCAGGCGAGGCGCTGGTGAAGAACTCTGAGAGCGCTGCAGCGGAAATTCTCGGACGTGAAGGGCAGCTGGTCATGAAACAGCTCAAACTTCAACCGGCCAACCTCATCGTACACAAGGATCGTAAGATACCGCCCAAAAGTAAAAAGCTCTAGATTCCACAAAAAAAATAGCGAGAGCATGCGAGAACTACTGTATTGGGGTTCTTACTTCAAGTCTTGGAAGAAATCCCTGTGTGTGCTTTGGAGCCTGGGTGCTGGTGCCGCTGCTGTGGCACTGCCCGCAAATACCTTTGGCATCCTTTTGCTATCTGGGGTCTATGAATGGTCTATGCTGTCATAGTACTTAAAACTTGGATGTCATCCAGAATCAACTAAGCAAGCAACTGCACGTCTGCCCACCGCGACATCCAAGAACACCAGCGGGTTGAGGCCTGGCTCGGGTGTGTCTTTCGATGTTGTTCGCCTCATGGACTTGCGAGTGATTACAGCCCGTTCGTCTGGGTGCAACCGGCATGTGTGCCTGCCATGGCAGGATGCCGGAAAGGGCTTCTTCGCACCTTTTGGGTTCGTGGAAAAAAGCCTTCGATGATCTAATGATCAGCGATGTTTTTCTTTGGCTTGGTTGGTGATAGGGCTTGGTTGGTGTGTTTCTTCGATGTTCTTCGATGATCTTCGGTTACACAGGGTAGTAAACCCTACACTATCTTCGACCTCCGGCGATTTGTTGCAGCTTGGCGAAAACATGCGAAAACCATCTGCCGATGATCTCGGATGAGCATGCACAGAACATCCGTCCCTCTGTCATCCCATGTCCCTCTGTCTGAAGTTCTACCTGTTAATCTGCTGAGCCAACATCCAAGCAACAAAACTCCACCCAACTGTCCAAAGGAAGGAGGAAGTATTTCTATGTATTTCTTGGATATCAACTTCTGTGGAGGGGAAAAAAACGGGAGACCAAAATTGTTCGATGGGTTTTATGTTATATACCTTACGCGCCCAATCGGAACCTCGGGTATTTGCGTGAAATCAAAATTACTTCAGGGTTTGTTCTAAAAACCTCGGGTCTTGGTTTTCAAACCCGGATTTAATCCGTACTAAACCCACATTATATATATATATTATCATATACTACACGGTAGTATTTAATAGTATTTAACCCATACGTTTGACCCGTATGTTCGTATTGGTTTGGAACACCTGTGGGCTTCCTTGAGAAACCGTTTTTTTTCCATCGACCCTATATAGTTTTGATCCAATTTGTGGGGTTTGGATGCGTGAGGGGTAGTCAAGTATTGTGAGCATCCAACAAAGGACCCAAGGTTCACTGACTGACACTGCAAGTATTCTCTTAACATCTCTTAACTTCAGCGGAGGGGTGATGGGGTGAGGGTCAAACTGAGGAGTTGTCCTTGTCAAACTGAGGAGTTGTCCTTGTCAAACTGAGGAGTTGTCCTTGTCAAACTGAGGAGTTGTCCCATCCTTCTAAAAGGACCCAAGTTGCAATCCCCATCACCCATTTTTCCTGCGAGGCGATTGTGGTGGCTCCAGCGTAGACTGGATGTGGTCTGTACTCGCCAAAAGCGCTGGGTCAAGCGCATTTCAGGTTCGACGTCAAAACTTTTACGGCAACAGCCCCAGGTGTCCAGTTACCAGGCTTTCATCGCCCACTTCCGAATGGATCAACCAAAGATTCCTATCACGGTCAATCACTTTCACGGCAACTATTCGGAAGAATGGTGCGCCTCAGGACGTTGGAAAAACTGGGCGTTGATATCCAACCCAACTGCACTGCTCGGCTGTTCAAAAGATTCCCTTGGCTAGCCATGATTAGCCTTGAAATCACGAAAGACCAATCTGCAGTTGTCTGTCAGGAGTCATGCGCTGCAAATTTAAGATGCCAAACGGCACTTCGTCAATTCGCGCCAACACGATGTTGTTTGAAGTACTGAAAAGATGGCGAAGTCATTCTAGTCTGACCACACACATTGGACAAATTGGGCCTCTACTCTTAGCCAAGCTGCTTGGATGTGAAACAACATCGGCGGCAACTCAAAGAATGAGATAAAGAGTGCAGTGAAGCAACCTACAACATGCAAGAACTCATTGGGATACCTGAGCGCTAGCAACGAGAATCAATGATTGAGAGTGGTTCCAGTGTCTAATTTCCTTTCAGCGACACCTAGATCTCTTGAAGAAGCTGGCATCGATACAATCTTAGGCACCATGCGCATCCATTTGTCTGCTCTCGCTGCTCAGCATGCCTGAGGCTGCTTCTCAAAATAATGATTCCAGTATCTTGTGAGAGAGAGAGAGAGAGATTTAAAATAAACAAGAACTTATTGTATCTGATTGATTACCAATAAGATTGAAGCCAGGCTTTGTCATTTGGCTGTGGGTCATGGCACCAGGAACCGGTCGTTCGCCTCACATGGTGGACTGGACCAGGGCTTCAGGTTTGGACTCCCCATGGGCTGCTCCATCGCTCACCTCTGTGCCCAGCTCCAGCCCTTTGGCTGTTCGTTTCACTCTCAGGAACCCTGCTGTCGCCAAGACTCCTTCACTTGTTGCACCTGCAAGGAACCATCCATGTCCGATGGGGCCCGAAGTGCTGTAGCACTGACCGGAACAGCAGCCCTTGCAGAAGAACGCGATGTGCCTGTGTGGGTGACAGCTGCTTGGCCACTTCACCATTTCTCTCCTGAAGCCAGAACTTGTAGCAGACATTGGGACAAGGACATTCCTCTCCTTGGGAAGCTTTCCCCCCAAGCAGCCTGGCCAAGTCCGATCTGCCTCGTGGACCACAAGAAACAAATTGCATCAGAGAGTCTCAGCAAGAAATCCCTCCCAATGGCCAATGCCCCCCTGGTTTTCACAGAGAGCAAACCACCAACAAAAGCCCTGTTTTAAGACACCCAACTCATACCAAGCCAAGCAGCTGTCTTCGTGGATGTCCTTTGGGAAGTCCACCTGCCAGCAACTCCCTCTTCAACACTCAAACTCTTGGGCAAACAAAGATCGCTTCGATCAGCGGCCTGAATCTGGACAAACAAGTTTCCTCTTTTCTTGGTGGCCTTGTTCGGCCTCAATGGAAAAAACACTTCTGACTTTAAAAAAAAAAAAACATGGATCCTGGATGCTTCCATTGGGAGAGCATCCGTCACAAGCACTGAGGCTCCAGCATGCCCTTACTTGGAACCAAAAGCACGTCACCAGGTTTCATGACCTCTGATTCACCGTCTACACATTTCAACCAACGCAGCAACTCCAGAGTGTGACTCTCAACGTCTGACCTTGCCAGGTTCGCTTCGGATGAGGAGATTCTCACCATCCAAATATTTCCTGGCATTTCAAGATCAGAAAGAGTGGTTCAGTTGACCATCGAAGCAAAACATGCTTTTGTCAACAAAGAAATGCCAAGCTCCGGGCACAGAAAGCTCAAATCCACAGAGTGCCTCTGCCTCAAAGCAACTGCACTGCTGAGCACTGACAAAAAGAAAACGGCTGCCATGGATGCTTTCGGTTTTCCTTGGATAAAGACTTTGTAAAGCTATAGGCTATAGTTACTGAATGCTTCTTTGGGTGCCAAAACATGCGAGAAGCCCGGTTCCGCAAAGGTTGGCACGAGACTCACCTTTCTTTGCATCACCAAGGAATCCTGCCATGGCATGGACTGGCAAAAGATGACCAAACAGGGCAATCCAACACCACTGCAAGCTCTCCTCAACTCGTTGGAACAAAGGGTGCCTGGCGGATTTTAAGGCGGCCTTCGATCTTGCGACATCAAGAGGCCATCAAGGACAAAAATATCGTGTGAATTCGTGTTTCTTTTCCCAGTGCTCACATTGTGCTCACCGATCCGTTGCCCGTCACATCTCTCGGTCACACCATCACACCATCTCTCTCACAAGAGCGTCTTGTCCCTGTCACGTCGGTGGTCGTTTCTCGGCGATCCCGACGACTTCTCCCTGATGCGGATGATCAAATCTCCAGGGTCATGCCCTGGCTCCTGGGCGGCACCGCGGTGGCAAGCCCCATGCGGTTTGGACACAGCAATGCTTCGCCCGGGCCGGCGGCGCGCCGGCGAGTTTCGCCCGGGCCTCATCTGCAGCGCCTGGGAAGTGGAAGACCTGGCCGTCCTGGAGGAAATGTTAAGGCCCAAGGACCAAGGAGCCCAAGGAGCCTAAGGATCACTGTCAGAGCCCAAGGACTTGTGGATGGCGTCTCACTTGGCTTCGGGAAAACCGCACGGAGCCCAAAGAAGTCCTGATCCTTCGAAATCGTTGTGCAAAGCGTTTGCCATCGTTGGCCAAAACCCTGCGCTGATTTCTGGCTGTTTGGCTTTCCAGGATTCAATAGTACGAGGGTCTGCAAAGCCCAAGACATCAAGGAAACCTCGGAAGAACCTCCAAAGTGTGTGTTAAAAAGTTCATGTCGTTTCACAAACAAACTTCAACATCACTTAGTTGTATCTCAACACGTTTTATCTCTTTCTTCTCACCCTCCCCCTTCTTTCTTCGCCTCACGGCGGCGCGCCCAGACGTCGGCGTCCAAACCCGTTCGATCCTCGGCACCCGCTGCGATGCTGATGTCGTAGCCGGCTTTCTCCTGTCGTCGGTGCCGGAGGCGGACAGCCGACCGTCTCTGCAGCGCCGAGGACGGGGTCGAGGTGACGATCACCGGTGCCAACGGTGCCGCCGTATAGAGAGGGCAGAAGAACTTCAGAGTTGGTACAAGATGGTGCCAGTTGGAGCCGTGGTTCATCCCTGTTCCATGATGTCAGCACAGAGGGGGACTGGCGGGCGGAACACAATGTCCACTTTCAGGAAAGCAAAAAACCCAAGCCTGCCTTCACAGTGCCAGCGCCTTTACAAGTACCACACACATCTTCCGGGCGTATGACCACACCTTTTCCTGCAGGAAGTGGACCGGGGCGCGGTGCAAAAAATTCACTGCAAGACGTGCAATTGAGGAACGTGGTGCACAAAATGGGCTCTCATCTCCTCTACATGTGGAGCACACTGACGACGACCTTGGTTTTTTCGCAGGATCTCTTCATTTGGACCACCCAGCGATTATCTGCAAGGGAAAGTTAGGATGGCAGGAAGCACCTCAGAAATAGCCAGCAACAAACAACATGCAGTCCCCCTATTGTCCAGTGGAGAGTCGTGTTTGTTCATGTCACAGGATAAATCCTTGAAGTTGCACGGTTTGTAAACCCCGGCGAACGCAATTTCTGACATGCTCAGAACATGATGTTCTGCCGGAAGGAACCTAGACCCTGTTCAAGAGAAGCTTCATCTCCAAACCCCAATGACGTGCGGGTCCATGCTGATCTCTCACCGAATCCTCTTCCACCACGCTGATCTCTCACCGAATCGCGGTCGCCCATCATGATAGTTTTTTTCGCGTCTGCATGCTGAGAGCATCACTGTTGAACCATTGGCCCAAATTGCTGCACCCTTGGATCGTCACAGCGCATGTCGGACCAGAAACATTCTGGGTGATTCATGTGTTTGAATCCTGCTTGAAAGCATCTGCAAAAAGCAAAAAAAAAGACAACACCACAATGCATCTGTGCAGACCACCGTCACCTCGCCGATCCGCTCGAAGTGACTCACCTCCAGGCCACCGGACGTCACTACATAGCCAGCACCTTTGCATCGTTGGCACTGCTGAGGATTTTTGCCCCCTTGCCCATGACCTCACCCGCTACGTGCGAACCACCGGTGCAGCCGGGCGGTTTCTCGCTAACGGGAAAGAGGAACGAGAAAGGCTCGTCCGAGTATGAACGGTGGTACTCTCTCAGGCTTCGGCAAGTCTGGCAAATCTTATTCCTTTGGTAGTTGATCCCTTGGCAGTCTGGCGTATCGTCCGGCTACAGCGAAGCGCAAGCTTTTGTAAAGCTAGACGTCGATGCCGCGAAAAGATCAAGGGGTTGGTGAAGTGTCATCCCCGTCATGAATCTTCGTCCGTTGGACAACATGGGACATGGGACAACAACAAATTGGAGCTGAGATCATATTGCTCTAGGTCAAAATCCCGTAACCCTGGTTGACTGTAGAAAATGAACAAAGGGATGTCAACATATTTAAATTCACTACCCAGTTGATCAATGCACAGTTCAACACGAGACTTCCAGATTAAAGGCTCCAAGTCGCTACGGCTGGTACCGACAAAGAGCTCCTGCCAAATCTGCCAAGCCAAATGCAACACTAGCATATTGAATTAAAAACATGAAACCAAGTCAGCACAGGTGGAAGCACAACTCTGTTCCACTCGGCCTCCAGGGTCACCTCAATGTTGTATTCCGCATTTTGCCTGGAGCACATGGGACGCCGGTCTCCAAAACACCATGGCACCCAGAAACGTGACGTCACCGTCAGCGTCTCGTTTCTTGGCCCAAGCGGCGTCACGGGTCGGCCACGTCGGCGCTGGCCACCGGCTTGGAAGCCGAAAATGTGGCCTGGCGCCCCGGGGACGGTCCGCGCGCCGGTCTCGGGACGGCCAGCGTCTGCGCGGTGGTGGAACGGTCTGGGCGGCTCGGCTGAACAAATCGAAGGGGTTCATGCCAGCGCCGCCACCTGCGAGTCGCATGCGATGCACGGCGGTTCGTCTTCGCCCATGCATGGGCGTCGAACATGGAGATGCATGGAGGAACAAGAATGCACAAGAATGATCAAGAATGCACATTACGTCTTCATCCAACTCCCACAAAACAAAAGATCAAGCTGGGGAATGGACCTGGGTCGGCACCACCCTCCAGTCCTGCAGTTCGCGAACTGAGCTGGGACAAAGGGTGCAACAGCTGGGAATCGGTCAAAAGCTGGGGTGTTCTTCCAACCGTTGAGTCAAATGAGATGATCAAAACCTCTCTCTCGGTGTTGCTTCACAAAGGCTTTATCATGTGCCCTTGTCACGGGGAAATTCATGGAAATTCGATGAACTTCTCCCTACAAATCTCCCTACAAAATCGCGACCTCAAAGGCCAGACAAAAATTGTTTACCGAACTGAGGAATTCGGAATATCACAAAGCAGGCATTGGACGAGTTGGCCCTGGTCATTGCGCTGAACACGCACGACAGCTACCGTCAGCTGCGATTCCGACCGATCGATCAGGCCTTCTTCTCCGTATGCATCGTAGATCTGCCGCTTTTGAGGGTCTGACAAAACCTGTGGCACGGGTCTTGAACCAACGTCGGTTTTTTTTGTATCCATTGGTCCCAACTTGCACCTCTTTCTCCTTGAACCTTTCAAGCGTTCGATTTGCTTCGCAAACCACTGCCTTGGGAAATCCTTTGGGCAGGGAACTCCACTTCATCAAACAACTTTCCAAGAAGAGCACCAGGTGTTATGGAAAAGCGGAGGTCAACCACTTTCCTCATCCGTTCGGCACCCGAACCGATGTGAAACCTGGGTGGAACTGAGTTCCACCAACGGCAAAGGAAACAGCGGATCCGCCTGCTTCAAACTTTGAGAAATAGCATGCATATTTAACTGATCTTGTTGGTTCACCATAAGTGTGATGGGTCGTGCTTCAACACAGGTCCAACGAAGTGTCTGCCCAGTGCTCTGCAAAACAACGGTTCATACGGTGAAGCACCATCTCGACAGGATCGACAAGTCCCGTAGCTCTCAATGGTTCTCTTTTCGTGCGAAGTTGGATTCGTGATTAGGCTCTCCTCCGACGGGTAGTGTTGTTTATTAATGGGTGTTTTTTCTCGAAAAAAATGTGAAGTAATGGTCACTTTCCTAGGAAGGCAGCGTTTTGTTGTTTTCTCGTCTTTCAAATCCGTGTGCCTCGGCTGCAGAAAAAGAATAGTTGAGGGCATTCACCAGTGAACAATCCCCTTGCCTGGATTGAACAAATGGCAAAGGATGAATGGATTACAATATGTCAGAAAGTTGGTTCCCAAAAAAGTATCGGGGATGCCCTGCTCATCCACGTTCGATAGAACTTGTACTAGCCGCTTTGAAAAGTAAAGAGAAGCCACTTTCAAGTCATCTGCCCCTTACAATCCATTTATACTCACCGTACTGATGTCAGTTTCACCTGCCTCGTATGCTTTGGAAATGTCTTTGAACTTCGCTTCGTCCCCACCACGGTCGGGGTGATGCCTCGGTTAGACTGTGGAACCGTACGGCCCGGGAAGAAATTGTTCACACTACAAACGGGCTTGTGCTATCCACTTCCATGTGAGCAGCACGCTCGGAGAGAAAGGGTTTTGGTTGCTTGACTGGGGGGGTCACGCCACATCTACTTAGCGTGTCAGTCAGATTCATCAGGCTCCGACTTCATGGCCTGTTTCTTGTAGGCCTGCTTGATGGTTGCCTCGACGAGACGGCTTCCCGGTCGATAATCCTTGGAAGCGAGCGAAACCGACCATACGTGCCTCGTCCGCTTCGCGGTTGATCCCAAGCAACCTGGGAAGACTTGTGAATGTCATCCCTTTAGAAAATATTGGGTCATTTTAGTAGACTGTTGATTTAAAGTTTAAATGCAACATATTACGAGGTTCACTGTTTCACAAATGGGGGATGTCTCTCATACGTCTATTGCAAACAGATTTATATACACGTACCATGCTACATCTCGCTAAAGTATGAGAAATGATCTGTAACTGTAAGCACGATGGCTTCCATACAGATTGCAAGTTGCTAGGCATGTCAATGGTTACAGCCCCATGAAAACCATCCACCGTTGGTCGAACACTTGGAAGTCTGCGTCGGGTGACAAAGGTAAGCAAACAAAGGACAAAAGGAGGATCTTGTCCGCCGACACGGGCTTCACAAGCACGGCCAGAGGGCAGCAGGACAAGAAGAGGACAACACCCGGACACAAAGTTCAGGGGCGCGGCCGAAGACTGTGGCCAGTGTCTTTTCCGAAGAGAGAACCCCAACACTGAACTGTTTGAAGAATCAGCACGAAGACTCCTCCTTTGTTGTTTTCTCGCGAAAGGTCAACCAAGATTCCTGTTGGCACCGTTGGCACCTGATAAACCCGACTACCTTTATTAGAAAAGCTCATGTCGGAGACCCCTGAATACAGTTAATATGTGCTTAAAATTACTGCCTGCTTAAACAACTACTGAACTTAACAGAATAATATATAGAACTTTTCCTAAGCGACTTTTCCTCGAATCTCTTTGCAGGCTTCCATCTTTGCAGGTGTGGGGGGGGCCCGTCGCAACAGAAACAGCCGGAGCTTGTATTAGGAACCGGGGGGGTATGTGTTAATAGGTGGAAGGGAATACCAGAGCAAACCATCGTCAAACCCAGGGATTTGTAGTGGCCGAACATCAAACCAACCTCGTTTTGCCAAACAAAAGTCAGCTCATCTGCACAGTGTGGGGCCACATGAGCTACAGGTCAGGAGCCACACCGGTCCTGAAGTGCGCTTGCATCCATATAGTATCTGACATCAGCGGACTATCCCTCGGAACTCTCTACCTGTCCGATCTAAGTAATACTGTTATACTACATTGGCGTACATTGGCGACCCTTTGCCGCCGTGTCATTTCGGAGGCATTTCTTTTCCAAATGTGACTCGCCGCTACGAGTACAGCGAGAAGCATGTTTTCAGAAGTGGGTGCGCAAGAGTCCCTGCTTGCAAAATGGGAAAACTACTCGGTTAGTAACAGCGAAGAAACCGGCTCCCTGTTTGTCACCACGGTCGATGACCTGCATCCCGGCCATTGCAGAAACCGGTTGGTGTCCTTTCTTCCGGTCCTGCCTCACGAGTTCTTTATTCTGACGGTTCACACTGACTGCTGCGATCCGCTAGCATGCGCTCAGGGTCACAGAGTCTTTGCAGGAGATTCAGCTCTTGTAGAAGGTGCGCAAAGACTATTCGAAGACCACCGTGTTTTCAATGGCGTGCAGAGAGGCGCGCGATTGAACTCGCGCCATGTCAACGTGGCGAACACGTGACGTGTGCACGTGCAATGCATCCCCAACCCACCCAACCCGCCCACCACATGAAGGGCGTGGCCCATGCTAGCGGATCGCTCCAAGTCAACGTGGCTAGTGGTGGTGACGTGAGCATGTGCAACAATGAACCGAATACAAACAAAACATCAATAACAAGTACGGTTTCTGCCCCGGCGCCGTTCGCAGGTCGCCCTCCAACTAGAATATCCTAATCTACACGAACCTCTTCGCTTCCTGAGCTCAGCTGGGTCTCCTGCTGATACAGCCGGTCATCTCCAGCCCCGGCTGGGCCTGCGAGCTGGTCCAGGAGCCGAAGGCTAAAAGAGGGGTGCTATAACTTACTCGACAACTCCAATTAAATTTATTAATATAGTATATAATGTGATAATTACAAAAATTGCGATATATATATATATATTTGTACTGCATGCACAGGATCGTGAACATCATGGTCAATCTAACCTACATGTCACGACCTCGCCCCTGTCCAGACCCCTCCCGTGTCACGCACTTGGTGCGATGTTGTCGTCGCACCTTGTCCTGGAAAGCCGCCGAAGCCACTAAACTGGCCGAAGCCTGGCTTCGGTGGATGCAACGGACGCCACGCAGGACAGTGACGCGCGGTGCGCCCTGGCCGAAGGATGGAGCCTGCAGCACCGTCTGCCGCTCCGATCCATTCTTTCGATCAATGCACCACATCGCCATACAATATATCAAGTCTAGGTACAGGTGACATTTGTCATGAACGATGGACAAGTAGACATAGTTCCCTCGAATCGCATGGTGACACTGTCACACCTCTACCTCAAGTCCAGACTCTTTTGTATGGACTGCCTGCTGCGAACGCTCGGCGACCCGAGGAAGCACTGAGCCTGCGAAGGCTGCAGATTGTTTCGACGCACCCGCGGACGCCCGCGGAACATGCTGTTTCCATGTGAGGTTGTATAAAAACCCCATATCCTTTTGCCTTACCACTTTTGGCGTTATCGTTTTTTTCTTCCTTATCGTTTTACAGTACTTTGACTAACTGCAACATATGTAACATATGTAGTATACATGTGTGTGTGCACTGCGTGCATGTGGTGTGGAACCTGCAGACATGAAGACATTAGGTACAATTCCCCATGCTGGAGTCCATGCTAGAGTCCCCAGACAGAAGATCTTATTGCTGTCCATGGCGCTCACATGTGGTGGCCTACCTACACAAGGTCTTTTAGGCTCGCTGCGTTATCGTTTTTGTTATCGTTTTGTTATCGTTTTGGTGCCTGGTGCAACTTGGATTTTTTTTAAAGATTCTGCCCTGAAGAACGGGAGATGGTTCACACTCTGTTTGTCGAGCAGGGACTGTTCTTTCGGAGGCCCAGGAGACACTCCTTGTTGCTCCCTCTGTGAGGACATAAGCCTAAAACCACAAATAGAAACATGCCAAGGGATTTCCACAACAATCATCGGGGGTTATCGTTTTTTTTCTTCCTTATCGTTTTACAGTGGTTTGCAGATGCTCCAAGAAAAACGGACATGCGAATACTAATTCCCTGGGTGGGGGGGTTTTATAATCTCTCATGTGTCCGGGACATGAAGTTTCGATGCGTTCGCACCTTTAAAAGAGACCTTGTGCTCTTTGATGTGCTTTGTTTGTGTTTATATAGCACAATCAAGCAGCATGGCTGTCTCCGACTTCGTTTCCTGGGCTTCCACCGGCCTCGACGTGGAAACTCTGGCTTGAAGTGCCTGCTTCGGTGCCCGAGTTTGAACTCCCCAACTCAGAGGCAAGCTGAAACAGTTCATTGGTGAAAATGTGTCCATTGGAGCCTTGACCACATGCAACCATAAACCATCATAAACTCCATTGCTATCTGTTGCCTATGCCTAAGCATTGAAACTTCCACATTCACCTGGCTCTATGAACACATTTAGCCAGCCTGTCTCACAGAAAGGCAAGAGCTCATTGATTCAGCAAAGACAGTACTGTTGAGTACAAGTAGACTTCTACGAGTGCGAGAGCCACTGAGCAAGGAAAGCAAGGGAACAGCAGAGGCGACAAGGTTCGCGTCTGTCTCTGCTGTAAATCGCAATCCCGCCCTTTGACGGCCGCCCTTTGCCCCCTTTTGTTAGATTCACTCATGTCCGGCACATTCACTGAGAGATGCACTCTGGCCAGAGTAGCTGAGCACACTGACATTGCCAGGGCTCCGAAGTCGTTTTGTAATCAAACTGCTGCAACGATTTGATCTTTCCTTTCTCCACGTGGTTTGGTCCCACTCTTCTTTCTTGTGTTGAATTGTTGGCGGTGGGGGGCATTTCCGAATGAGCTACTTTGGGGATCCCTGCAAAACCCTCGAACAACCCGAACCGTGAGTTCTGAGATCTGAAGTAAGGCCTTGGTTCTGAGTAGTGCCAACTCTGACGTCAGTCGCCTACTTGTGTCGCCCAAGGCGTTGCTGCCTTCAGCAGCATACTGCGTCGGCTTGTGAATGCTTGAGCGACTCAGTCACTCATCTGCTCACGTCTGCTTTCTTGCGCGCTCTTGCCTATGCGTGTAGGGTAGAGGTGTGTGTGTGTGTGTGTCTGTTTCTTTCCAGTTGGTACAGTTCTTTGGTGTCCCCTCTCTCTCTCTGTATGGCCACGCAAAATCCTGGAGCCATGCCTTTATGCGAAAGGCGCTAAAGCCAAGAAGCTGAACGGGCAAAAGCGCCGACCGAGTCATGCAAGGCATGGACCCCCATCTCAACGATCAATTCTGTGGCCACAGCTGCCCGCAAACAGCTGTGCAAAAGGGCCCTCATTTAGAGTAGGATATTATGAAACGAAAGATCCAGCTCATGTAGTTTTCTGGTCAAACATCTTTGACCCATGGTCCTGCCCTTCCGTCAGACCAATGATTTTGCCTCCCAAGGCAGCGTGGCATTGCGCTGTTCAGCGCACTTTCAACAGGAGCTTGGCCTTAAATCCTACGGTCCGACGCACAGGCGCCTGGGATGGTCCAAAATCTTCTGCTTTTCGGTGGAAACCTATGGAAGTCTGCCCGATATGCTCCCATCAACACTAGGTCCGATCGTTTGGACCGATGTTTTGCAGAACTTCTCAGCATGGAGGGATCCCTTTGTTCAGAAGATTGAGCAGCAGTAGACCCCCCAAGTTTTTTACCCATCCAACCCAAGTTCGGCTTCAAACTGTTTTCCAATTTGAGTGACTAGCAGTGCACTGAAACATACTGAAACAATCCACCATCTTCCGTCGTTGGTTCAATGTATCAAACAAAACACAACAGTTGATTTTGACCATGGTTAAGGCGCCTAAAAAGGGTGCCTCAATACGGCGCCTAAATTTCAACTATCGGTGCCAATGGCGCAGCTTCGAAGGTCAAGAGCTCTGCACCACTTGGAGTCCAAGCCTTTCCGCTCATCTCACGAGGTTGGTAAAAGGACGGCGGCATCTGAACGCGGCTCGTCAAACGAAATCCCACATCATTCGCCATGCCGTTCACGTCCCAATCCTGTCCCGGTGGCGCGGTTAATACGTTGCCAAGTCGCGGTTCCGCGCAGTTCAGGCGCAGGATGGGACAACTTCACACCAAGTGGGGCCTATAGCCGCCTATAGCCACTGGCTGTTTTTTTGATCCACCCAACAGATTTGCAGATGTCTGGGTCTAAATTCCTATGATTTCCGATGTCCGTGGGTTGGGACATAGGAATTATCAACTCCAACGAGCGACGCTTGCAACCATCATCCCTATTTGGGCCGGATGTCCTCGTATTGAGACGAAAGCATGATCAGCTGGATCAAACCTCCTTCCAACAACATTCCATCTTGGGCACTCTTGAAGAAGTCCCTCAACAGTCTGGAGTTGCACGGGTTTGGAGCACGGCTCAGCGAAAAGCGCGGGAAGGGGAAGATGATAATATGGAATCCACCTTTCCGTCAGGGTTGGTTCGAAAACTCCTCGAGTGAATGTTATCAAGCAGATTCTACGGAGAATATTTACATGTGCCATCTCCGTGCCATGTCATGTTCTACCATGCTTCAACTCCTCTGCCTTCCACTCCTTGTGTTCTCAAGGTCCCTTCCAAATCGGTGGCATCCACGCTGTGCAAGACTTGCGCACCCCACTCGTTGAGCTCGCTGATGTTCTTCTCCAAGGCTCCATTCATCCCAGGCAAACTCACACGACGATAGGCCGCACGCTCGCCGTCGTCGGCCGGGTGCACTTCCACCTGGACGCGGAGCAGGATGAGGATGGGGACCATGGAAGGGACTCAGGGACCTGGCGGTGAAGGGAAACAGGGATCCCGGAGAAATAACGCGAAAATATGATGCATAGAATGATATATCATGTATGATTCATCTGCAGACTGACGAAGCTCGAGGAGGAAAATGAAGAAGAGTGTGACGAGGAGGATGAGGATGCTTCAGTATGAGGATGGCTGAAGATGAGGATGAGGAAGAGGGTGAATAAGTTTTATATAGATGGATCAGGAAGAATATGGATCAACCCGAATCAACCCACAACCACACTGGACCAAAAGAGTTGATCCATTGTCAATTTTAATGAATCAATTCACAGTCATTGATTGTTTACGGCCACGAAGTCTATTGCTTACATGCAACCCTCTGCCAAGGAGAACTCGGGCAGCTGAGCTTATTTCACCATGGTTCGCCTCGCTCGGGTCATGTTCCGCCAGGTATGAGGAAGCGATCAGGGGGGTCCCAATCGGTCTCAATCTGGCCACTGCCAGCGAAAAGGAGAAGTCCATCTCGCCCAAGGTCAAAATGGCGGGAAATTGGTCTTCATCATCCTCTTAGGATTGGTACAAGGAACATCAAGGAACTTGAAATCATACATGTCTATTTTCACTATACACAATTCCCTACAGATTCCCTAGAAGGGGCTTCACCCAAAAGGGGAAAGTATTGGAAAATCTTAAATCATCCTAAGCAAAGTAAAGTCCTGCAAACCCCAGGAGCCATGTGCCAAGAAGTTCTCAGCGCCCAGCAACTCACAGGGAGGCCTCAGCAGGAGATGAAACGGTCCAGCAAACATGAGAGTGTATTGGTATAGGGAGACCCCAAAACACCTCCTGGTAAGAAGAAAATTGTTGTTATTACTATGTATATATATATATATATGTGGTCACCCATCCCATAGAAATAAAAATACGCTAATGATGTTTAAAAAAAGGTACAGCATGTTGAAGTGTCTTCAGCACTTTTCAAGGCAAAGGCGTGGGAACATCATCAAAAAATGAGAAGAGCTTCTACGGTAATATACGCAATCATGCACATGTGCGGACCTTTAGACAATGTAGGTCTTAGGTATTAAGAGGTCTTACTCTGTCCAAGCTAAGTCTTAAGTAAACCAGTCTTAAAAGTACTTTCGTCGGCATTTTAGGGGCATCCATGTACTGTACTGTATATGTATGTGTGTGTATGTATAAGTGTGTGTATATGTATGTATACATATGATTTGATGGCATGATGATTTTAAGCAGCTTGGTGTATGGTTTTGTGTGCATGATTTGTTATTTCTAAAACTTGTGCCGGATCTCATAGAGAGAGAGAGAGAGCGGCGGCAAGCCAGACAAGCTGCATGACTGCTCTTGATACTGCTGCCAGAAGCCTGGATCAAAAGCTTCTGTTGCTCTATCAAACACATCCAATTTGGTAACGTCCATAATTGCTTTTAGAACATTATATAGTTAGTGTTCAAAGTTATTGTAGTTTGTTTTTCGCCGTTGCATCCAGCAAACCTCTATGTGTAGGGAAAACTTATTATATATATCATTGAATTCTTTCAAACAGTCTGGTCTCCCGGTTGCAGCTACTACAGTTCGACTCACTTTATGTATTCATTGGGTTTACCTTTAGCAAGGATTACTGGATTTGCAGCCATATACTCTTGAATTCTACCATACAAGGTGACACCATTCGCTATAGACAACCTATGAAGACATCACGAACCTAACCATAGTTTGTCTGAGAGAAACAAGTGTATGATCAGCATTGATTAGCAAATACGTTGTTCCAAGCATTGGTTTAATCAATACAATCTTTCAACAATGCCCTTGCTATCAAACAACTTAATATTGTTGAAATTCTTACCTAAATCAAGCAGCAAATCCCCCGACGACTACAATTTGTTTCTTTGATACAGCCTTCTCCTCTGCAAAAGGTCTTTCCCTTGCAACAGTGAAGTTGCCTTTTTGGGAAGACACCTGCATAATTGCAAGAAATTTTTTTGGGACAGTGCTCGATAAGAGCTTCACTCATCAAAAAGAAACAATTTTCAAGCCAAGAGGACTTCAACAAGCAAACGCCTTTGGAACATTTTGTCAGCGCATTTTCAGTCTGCGTATGGGTCTATTTTGCTTAGCAACCTCATTTCTTGTCACCAGAATAGATTCAAAATCCCTAGTGACAAGAATTGTTACTTTGCATTATTGTAACTGTAACTCTCCTTTTCCTCTTCTTTTCTCAGCTGATGCAATTGATTTCCTGCTGCTGTACTCAATTTGTGCTCAATCTCATCTGGGTGATGTTAACTGCTTGATAAGCTTGAGGCAAGTCAATTACAAAAACAAGGAACTAACTATCAATCGAGCATTCATGCATAGTCATAAAGTAGATAGGTCGTCAGTCAGTCAGTCAGTCCGTCAGTCCGTCCGTCCGTCCGTCGGTCCGTCGGTCCGTCGGTCCGTCAGTCCGTCCGTCCGTCCGTCAGCCAGTCAGCTGGTTCGTCAGTTAGTCAGTCAGCCAGTCAGTTAGTTACTTAATCACCTACTTCGTTCGTTCGTTGGTTGGTTTGGTTGGGTTGGTTGGTTTGGTTGGGTTGGTTGGGTTGGTTGGGTTGGTTGGGTTGGTTGGGTT